CCAGGTACAAGCTTGTGCATGTAACAGTATAGGAGTAGAAGCAAAAAGGCTTCATGGAAAGCAGTAACTTAAGGCTACATGGGCTGTCATACAAGAACACTCTTGCCATGTGATTCAATTCAAATTTTACACTTTCAGTTTTAGCAGCTATTGTATCCTAATGTAAATAAAGTAATTTCAGTAAGCATGTCTGTCCCCTTATGCAAGAGCATGTGACAAGAGTTCTTGTTCCTTTTTTTACCCTTTGTGGACAGGCTCCAGTTTGGCTGAAAGATGGAAAAAGAGATGTAAAACAGAATTTTTGATCTAGTCTCCCCAAATTTCTGCTGCCTTCCTGAGATTATACAAGCTCCCTCTGGTGGAGGATTTAACACTTGATCTAAACCAACAAGAGGTCAATTTGTCCAACAAGCCTGAGAAAGAAAATTAGTTTTGTACAGAAATCTGTACAGAAGTCACATGATTAATATTCTAATAGCTGCTTTGTTTGCAGGTTGTTAACAGTTAATTTTCCAAACAAAAGCAATGAAGCATTACTGGGCATTTAAAAAAAAAAAACACCGCTACATTTCGAAAAGAAGTCAACAATGCAGTATTTATATAGTGCCCCTCCATCCCAAGTTATCAGCATCTTTTCCACCCCTTTAATTTTCTGGAGTCCTTGTAAAGTAGATCTCCATTTTACAAAGAACAGGAAGCATGGAGAATGTCACTTAGTCGCATCATAGGTGTGCAGCTCTGCCACAAATACAACTCCCTATTTCCAAACCTATATTTTAAGTCCTATGCCATATTTCATTTGATAATAGGGCATAAATCTAATACGACAACAGCATGACTCATTTACGGGAGCTCAGAGTCAGACCTGCAGACCTTAAAGAAAAGGGGGGAAAAAATCATTCCTTTTAAGCGAATTAAGTCAATAAGAGTTTGCCACATTTACAGGTTGGGACCCAAGGTAGAAAACAAGGTTACACTTTTCAAATGCAAAAGGCAAGTAATGCAAGTTAGCTTTATTTTGAACATCTGTCATCTTCAGCTAAGTGTAAGCACCTATCACCATCAGAACAGAAGCAAGCATTTATAGTCATGATGCATTTTTGTTATAGAACTTGACATAACATACAGGGTCATCAACATTTTATGGACTCTAGTTATTCAATACTGTAAGTCAATATGGAACTGTGTAGGTAATCAAACATGGACTGATCAGCATTAGAAAGCTTCAACCCCAAGCCACTGCTTCTGGGTATCAGTACTACAATCTGTGCCACAAAAAGCTTTCAGCTATGAAAACAGTGTATGCCCTGACAGAAGGTTATCGCATACCAAAATATTGACTAGAAGTATCGTGCAAAACAAATATGAAGGAGATAATTTTATTTCTAATCTCTTAATTATGACTCATTAATATTTTTGCTTAACCATATAAATTGCTTTGCAGCAAGTACATTTGTAAAAGAGCCAGGGAAAACTCTAAAACAACAGGTTTTGAAATGAGCACTGTTGCCATATAGAAAAGCCCAGCTTGATTCTCAGATTCACTACCTGGAGTAAGAGGAACAACAACTTAAACGGAGAGAAGAAAGGACTTTGCACCAACACCCCAGGCAAAAAAAAAGAAATGATGCACAAAAGGACTGCAAAGATCCTGCCCAATCTTGCTGGCTAAAAACAGACCGTAATTGAATTTCAAGTGCATAAGGGTGAAGAGTGAAGATAAACTACTCAGGATACTTAGGAACTGTATGGCATGTAGAGGATCCCCCCACTAATAAGGGGCATGGAACTGATCACCAAGTCCTTCCAGCAAACACGCATAAGCCAAATAGAATTGTATATGCAGTAGGGGCATGCAAATTGGGCCCTATTCAATTCAGATTCAGCCCAAATCAGGGACAGCGAATCAATTCATTGCTTTGGAGCACTGTCCCCGATTAGATTCGGCCAAATCCGAAAATGAAGATTCAATGCTGATTCAGAGAATCAGCAATTTGGACACAGACACAGCTTTAAATGTTTTTTCTACATACCTTGAGGTACCAGCACAGCCTGTGTACACTGGAATGCTGGGGCGCATGGAGTGTCCCACAGGAGTGTGGGGGGCCCCTCCACATGCTTGGTAGCAAACCCAGAAGTGGACTGGAAGTACTTCCAGTCCACTTCTGGGTCCACAAGGGAGCACGCTGGGGGTCCCCCTACACCTGCCTGGCTCAGTGATCGACCGCAGGGGACACCAGGTGCCCCCCCAGACCCAGGAGGCATCAGTCGCCAAGCTGGGGAGGTTCAGGGGGGACCCCCAGCACGCTCCCTGAAGGACCTGGAAGCAGACCAGAAGTGCTTCTGGTCCACTTCCAGGTCTCCTGTCAACCACACTTGGGAGCCCCCTGCACTTCTGTGGGACGCTCCATGAGCCCCAGCACCACAGCATTCGCAAGCTCCTGCTACCTAGAGGTAAATAGAAAAAACATTTAAAGCTGTGTCTGTATCTCCAAATCGATTCAGAGATTAAAGTGTCCTCCGATTCAGTTTGGATTCAGAGATTCAGCCACCAAATCGAGCTGAATCGAATCAGGGACCAAAGCTTCACACAGCCCTAACATGCAGCCTATAGAAATATATGCATATCAACAGAGCTACCCAATCAAACTGACAGAGAGAGACACTCACATACAACTCCACCAAATGCCTCCAACAAAACCTGAAGCCCAACTCTCAGGCTTCCAAAATAAGTTTGGTCTAACTGGACTGAAGAGCTACTAGATGGTTAATTTATTTTCACAAGCATTCCTTCCAAGTGAGACAGAGCAGAGAAGGGCCTTTTTGCAATTAGATGCCTTCACATTTTAAGAGTCTACTTAAATAAATAAAAATCCTGGGTGAAGAGAATATACACCACACACACACTTTCTCTCTACTTTCCAGTACTCCCACCAGTTCTAACTTTGCCTAGGGGAATAGTCAGTGGAGGAAGACATAAAAAAGCTGTAGCCAGTTAAGGGAAGAGCTAAGTCCATCTTCTCCCCCAGTGCCTTACAGCAGTCAGATGGCACTGAAGAAACAAGAGTGATCAGCATACTCCTTGCTTTTAAGCAGTTTGGAAAGATTTAATTCTGCATGAATGGAAGCCTAAATGAAAGCAATCCCCAAGACAGAACTCTCCCATTTCTCAGCTGCACTTTTCCAATTGAGCTCCCTCCTACACAAGTATCTTTCATCTCTTGGATCTGCCTTTTGCTGGTAGGTGTCTTAGAGTTTCAAGCCTTGAGTTTTAAGCAGCAATGACAGCTGATTTTTAACATTTACTTGAAAGTTGCTCTCTAAAAAGGGATGTGGCTGGTCCAGGCTTCTATTTCTTCGTGTTCTGGGCAGCCATATCTTCCTATTTCAGAAAGCAAGTTCAGCAGCTTTGCATGGATGCACAATCCTACACCCTAGCTAGTCGTTACTTACTGGGAAGCAGAGTTTTCCCAATAAGTCATCTCCACTCACCTCCACTCCCAAGATCTCATCCTGACCCCATGACCAGAGATTTATGGAGAGGCAACATTAGTCTGATCCTATCTTTTATTGAGTGAACTGTGGAGGCCATTTCCTGGGGAAGCAACAGCCCCAGCTGGGCTTCAAGAAAGCTTCCCCAAACAAGAGAGGGCACCCACTATCACCACAGCTGGAACACTGCAGCCCCGATCCTGGCTGGAACAGCACAGGCACATGCCTATGCAAAGTGGTGGCACCCAAATGTTTCTCCCAGAGCCTCAAGCAAGATCTGGAGGTTTAAAGAAATGCAGTGGGGGCACTCACAGCAACACCATGGGCAATTCTCAGCAAGAGGGGAGAAGGAGAGGGTGGAAGGGAAAACTCAGAGCTAATCTAGAGGGGATTCTGGGAAGGCAGTTGGGAGCAGGAGCTCAGACCAAAGCCGTGGGCAACCCTGGGGCAAGAGCGTGGCCTCAGAGCTAATCCAGGGGTGATGATTGGAAGTGGGGAGGGAGCAAGAGACTCTCAGCTAATCCACAGGGTCCTGGGAACTGGTGGGGGGCTGAGGGGGGGAAGGGGAACTCACAGCAAAGAGGTGATCCTAGGAAAGGGTTTGGGAGACTAGGACTTGCAGCAAATCCACAGAGGATCCCAGGACAGGGACTGGGAGACTCGCAGCAAGTCCTGGGGTCATCCCAGATTGTGGGGGGGAAGCAGAGGGCTCATATCTATAATCAGAGGTGCCCTGGAAAAGAAAGAGAGGGAGCAGGGGACTCGCAGCTAATCCACAGGGGATCCCAGAAAGGGGATTAGGAGAAGAGGACTCGCAGCAGATACACAGGGGATCCCAAGACAGGGACTGGGAGGCTCACAGCAAATCCAGGGTGATCCCAGATAGGGGGGAGGGAGCAGGGGGCTCACAGCTAATGTAGGGGCAATCGTGGGGGGAGGAGGTGGTTCCCCGCTACAGCCACAAGCGCCCCAGGAAAGGAGAAGAAGCAGGGGACTCACAGCTAATCCACAGAGGATCCAGGGACAGGGAGTGGGAGGCTCACAGCACACCCAGGGGTGATTCCTGCAACAGGAGAGGGAGCACGGGGGCTCACAGCTAATGCAGGGGCAGTCAGGAAGAGGGAGGAGGTGGCTCATCATTACATACACAGATGCCCCAGGGAGAGAAGAGGGAGCAGAGGGCTCACAGCTAATCCACAGGGGATCCCAAAACAGGGATTGAGAGGCTCACAGCAAACCCAGGAGTGACCCCAGCAAGAGGGGAGGGGGAAGGGAGTGAGGGGCTCACCCTACAGCCACAAGTGCCCAGAAAAGGAGGAGTGGGGGGCTCACAGCTACTACACAGGGGATCCCAGGAGGCTCACAAGAAACCCAGGGGCGACCCGAGCAGGGGGGAAGGGGTGGGGGGAAGCAAGGGGCTGACCCTACAGCCACAGGTGCCCGGGGACAGGAGGAGGAAAAGGGGGCTCACAGGCGATGCCGAGCCCCCGGCGGGCGGGCGCACTCACCGATGCCGAGCCCCACGACGACGCGGCCGCCCAGCAGCG